TTGATGATTATAAAAAAAGAGAACTTCAGCATTTTGCGAAACAAGCTGTTGCTACTAGTATTTCATTAAAAGAACTGAAATCTGATTTATTCATTTAAACTATGAAAAAAATTTGAGATGCAGGTAGTCCATTCATGATATCATCCTATGCAAATTCTTCAACCACTCTTTCCTTTCCATTTTTGTTTTTAAAGGAACAAATTTGATGTTACTTAAATGTTGTGCATGTTTCTTATGTATTTCCTATGAGTGAAGCTTAAATTACTGTAATGTTTTACATTTTTTATTTTTTACGGTGATGTTACCAGTGTTTGCTTTACTTATAAAATTTTTTTTCTTCAATTTTAGCAATATATGAATGGAATAGAGGCCATGTATTCGAGGATCGTTTCATCCGAATGCTTTAAAACAAGAATATCTCGGTAAATAGTTATTCCTTCTAGAACTAACATTTACAGGTACCTATTATTTTATTCAGTTTAAGTTGACTGATGATTTGGCTGTGAAAGAAATTTGCATCTCAAAACAGTTTTTAAAGTTTCATGAAAATTAATTTTATTATATCTTATAAGTAGTTTCTTGTTGGCTTTTTTTCATGTCTTTTAGTGTAGCGGTTTTTATCAGTGTTAAATTGCCATGTAAAAGATTGTAAATTAATCGTTACTGCGTTGATTTTATTTCGTTTCATGTATAGGACTGGAAGGAAGTGATGGTTAGACGATTAGGAGGACAGAATCACATAAAGACCATAAAAGATAAGGGGAAAGAGTGAGGGAAAAAGAAAGAGTCTAAGTGTCATATTGAAGAGAAAGGCTATTCGTATATTTTTCATCCTCCAAAACTTCTAATTTTCAATTTCTCTCTTATCTCATAGATGTAGAAAATCACCCCAGTTAGCTTTTTCATTTCAAATACGCATGAAATTTCATGTTTCGTTAGAGTATTTTGTATTGACTGAATTTTATTGCATAATTTCTGGAGCCATTTTTAGTTTTCATCAGATTTTTCCGATTTCTAGAATTTTTTTAATTTCGAGACACAATTTATCAAAATCTGTTAACAGATAAATGCGAACACTAACATAGATTCTCTTAATTTTCCTTGATGGATATACCAAATTTCAAAAAATTCGAGATACTCTTCTCGTGGAATCTTAGAAATCTATTTGGTTATAATTACATTTTCAGTTTTGGATGTTCTTATTCATAAATTTTTTTCTCAACTTTTCTCGTCCTCACTCACATCCGTAATGAAAATACAGTTCCAATTTACCGTTCGCAACGCTGATCGATTTATAACTTTAATTACCGCGAAGTGGTCAGTTAATGAAGAGTGATAAGATTTAAAGCGAATTCAGTTTTGTTCTGTGATGATATACAGTGATATCGTGTTTTATTGGTGCTTAGATCGAGAGATGTAAGATCATTGTTAGAAAAGATAATGATATGAGCAAAGCCAATCTTGAATAACATACAGGGAGGAATTTACAATTTCAAATGCGCAGTGTCCTTAAAAGATGATTTCAATAGAGAGAACTCATTAAAAGTTGGTTTCAATACATACTCTCGTCCAACATGCTCTGCATTTTTTGAGAGAAAATTCACGATAGCACCACCTCTAACTGCTATAATGATGAATGTGATGTCGAATGATTTTTAATAAAAGTAATATTTCAGACATTTCTCTGTCATCGTCGAAAAAGCAAATTTTTTTATAGCATTTTCACTGTGAAAACTATTTTCAAATATTTATAATTAATTATCACTGGTAAGTAAACATGGAAAAGAGCGAACTCTCAGCTTAATTAAATTATATAATAATTTAAAAAAAATTTCAACCCATTGCCGATTGATCAAAAATCTATGTCCATACTGTAAATAAAATACCTGAAAAAACAGGTTTCCGTTCTCCTTTCTTCTGTAAAGGAAAAGGTGAAAAATACCGAAAAATTCCATTTTCTTTTCAAATGTAAAATTGAAATTTTTCTCTTTCATCCATTATCTAATAATAATCTGTGTTATTTTTACTATTTTATTCTTTTCTCTATTATTCAATTTAACAAAAATAAAAACCATAAATTCAGTGACAAATGACACATAATCTTCGATGAACTGTCAAAACAGCAACTATGTCAGTATCAGAATTATCATGTATGTGTATGTGTGTGTATGTGTGCATGTGTGTGTGTGTGTGTGTGTGTGTGTGTGTGTGTGTGTGTGTGTGTGTGTGCAAAGTCATTGTATCAAGAAGAATTTTCCTTTCGTAATTAATTCGACAAAAGCTATAGAATTAAAAAAGGCGAAGAATAGTAATAATAAGTAAGAATAAAAAGAATATCAAAATTAAATTCAAATATTCAAAAATGAATATTATAATCGCATATGAATGAATAATTTAATATATAAGAATTGATTTTGAAATTGGAATTTTTTTATTACTTTTATTAAAACAATTCAAATGTGTTATTAGGCGCAATGTTTAGCTTATTATGTGCAAAAGCTATTTAAATAATGTGAAATGAAGTAAAAAATGCTTATACCTTTTAATGGAATGGAATTGTATTAAATTAAAAGTGAATCATCCGGCATATTTAATTGTATCAGAGAATATTAATTGAACTATTATCTTCAGAATAATATTATCTTAATTATGATAGTTATTAATTATGTTTTTCAAGCAATAAGTTCATTGAAATAATTAAACTTTCTTTTTTTTTTAATAGTATAATGATTTCAAATGTTATTGCTTCAACTTACTATCAGTTTTTCCTAATTTTTAAAAATTGAAATACTGAGCTTAAAAAGATTCATCGTACTTCATAGCACTTTTATTTATAATTTTCAAACCATTTCTTATTTCTTTGTGATCGTATTAAACGATAAGATAGTAAATTCCCAAATTCCTGGAAGAATAATGATTTTTATAGCAATCTGCCAAACTATGTCTGCAAAGTGATAAGAGCTGCATGTGTTTTGACCTCAGAAAAGGTAAGATGTCACATAATTAGCTCTTTAGAAATCTCTCTCCTCTCCAATCCATTCCAATGATGGAAGAAAGAAGAAAATTGCTGCATAAGAGATCGAAAATTGTGATATTGGAGTAAATTTTTCGAGCAATTCCATTACTTTCTTTGGAAATTCTTAAAGGTTTTTCGTTTTGCAAAATGGGAAAGAGAGCATTTGTTTACGTAAATTGTTGAAATATACTGATTCACGCACCTGCTTCCAATTGGTTGGAGATGGTGGAAGTCGGTCGTCGTCAAGGAAGGAATGGTTTTGGTTCATGAGAAGAGAGAGAGGAAAATGGGTAAGCTATGGGGAGGGGGCGGGGGACAACAGTCGGTTTCGATGACAGAGACTATTACACAACTTTGTCAACTTCCCAGTTTGCCGTAATCGAGAAGTGATCGGTCGATTATTCACACCGTGAATGTCGTAAGTCTCCTAAGAAGACAATTTATCTTTCCTCTGAAAGGGTAATTTTCTCTGTTCACTTTTTTTCCTTAATATTTTTAAGTCTTTAAGTCCGAAATCAAATGGATCAAAGAAATAAAATGATTCCTATTTGAATGATTAATTAAACTTTTAAATGAAATATAGATTTTTACCATTTGCAATCTCTTTGTATTAATATAAATTTATCACTTAATGACTATATTTTTTCAAAATAATTTTATGATTTAAAAATTTTGGATTAATAAGAAAATATCTTAAATATTCAATTTTTCTAATTTATTACAATCATACAGAATTTGAAATAATGAATATTATATGAATTCCCTTTTGTTCAACTCTGATCTATTCTATTAGTTCAGTTAATTATCTTTCTTAATTTTCTTATTGAGGTGGCTATTGTCATGGATTTGCATGAGCTATATAAAAATGTTAAATACAATGCATTATCAATCTTTTTAATAATAACATAATATTTGTTGATAGACTTATAAAGAAGAAATAATTCATATTTGATTTTATAATAGGTGCTTTGGGAAGCGTTAATTGAAAATTAGAAGTAAATGTAATTAAGATAGTATGAATTAATTAGAGAGATAATAATAATTGTTTATGTAATAGTTATGGGTTATGATTTTTGCTTCATTGATGTGATATGATAGAAATGATAAAACTGGCAGGAGCACTTTTTGCTACAAATTAACAAATCACTTCATAGAAACAATACTTATGCAATCATTCTGTGTAATGAATTAAACTTTTTTTTGAAAAAAAAGATACTATTGCATTTTGTAGCTGATATTATCAATTCTTACCGTTTTTCATTTCTGATAATTGAACAAAGTGATGAAAATTTCTTGTATCTTCTACAATCTCATTGAAATATTAGTTGAAATAAATTGTGATTAGTGATTTTTAAAGCTATCCAATTGTTGCACCGATATGTGAAGATTGGATAAACAATCGGGTAGGATAGATTAATTATTCTCAATGCTTTCAATGATAATATCCATGACAATACAACTAATAGTATTGTTTGACAAGCGGAAATTGAATTAAACTCTGTTGATGTTCATTAAATAAATTACAGCACAAAATATACAATAAATGAAAAAATAATAATAATTTGGTTGTAGAAATGGAATTGTGATAAAGATGAAAGGTGGCATTAGCGATGATATTTCTCATCTCTTCAAACAATCTATTTATATTATTACACAACAATTAAAATATTATTTTAGGAAAAAGTCCTTCATGTGTCATTGCTGTCATTGTACTACATAAAAGCATGATAACATTGAGAGAAAAAGGGGACCATATTTTATTATATATAAAAATTATTATCATATGATCGAATACAATATTTGGCACTGTCAATTAAAGTACTTTATTCGTATGGAATTAATTAAGAATGCAATGGCTTCATCTTTTATATGTGATATTTTAATTGTAAAACTTTTTTGATTAAAATGAAAGTCTATCAAAATTTAGGAAAAAATTAGTTATCAAACAGCAGCACCAGCAATAACAACAACAAAAACAAAAGCAATGACAAGGCGTCGTAGTAGTCAGCCGGACATTCGTAGCCGAACCGATAGCCAATCCAGTTTAATGCGTCGGAAGAGCATTACGGAAACGTATCCAAGACCTTCTGTTTTTGGAGGACGTAGGTGTTAAATTGATTCAAACAAGAGACTAATTGTATTTAGATGTATTTAAATTAAAAACTCAAGTTTCTTATTGGTCTTCTAACGATAACAGTTACTATTCATTTTTCCAAAGACACTTTTTTCAGATGATTTGTTGCTCGATCCTCTTTACACTGTTCAAGCTATGCAAGTAGGAAACCATCCGGAAAGTAAGTCTTTTTTCTCAACTGAAAGAGTTTATTGTGATGGACCTTTTTAAGTAATAGTTACGTGAACAAGAAGTAATAATATATTGTCCTTTCTCGCAACTCTCGAATCAATCTTTTGTATTCCTAATGAAAATGCGTTGAAATAATCCTTCGCCTCTTTTTACGGTTTTTAATTTATAAAACAATTTCAATAAGTTATGATTATTTTCAGGTCCAATATATAATGTTCGAAAGCTTTTGGAAGCACATTTAGAGGAAACTCCATTGATTTATACTGAAATGTTGGATTTAGACAAGAATGATGAGGTCAGAAAGCACTGGAAACAAGTAGCCAGGTTAAGCTGTATCTGAAAATTGAATTTTGCTCATTTTCTTCTGAAATTATTTCGAAAAGACCTGGTCAACGATCCTAATTGACAAACATTTCATACCTTTTATCAAAATGATACATTAATCATAAGCTATAATAAATTCATTACGCTGGATGACTATAATATTTTGTTCGAAATGTATCTGCGCTATAATTTAAAATATTGAAATGCTAACAAACTGTGATCACTTTTAGATGGATCAGGTATGAGCAAACAATTGAAGGTGATGGTACACGATTTTCTAAACCACACATCACTCTTCTATCGGTAATTAGTTTGATACAGCTCAAGAATTGTCTTCGTAAAGGAGTCACTATGTTGGATGTTGAAGCACACTCATTTAACGAAGTTGCAGGTATTAATTACGTACCATATTGAAATCCAATAATTTTGTCATATTTCAATGATCACTTGAGCTACTTGGTATCGTAGTATCTGTTTATAAGTAATTAGATTTTCAAAAATAAAGATTTTTTGGTACAAATGATTATGGAAATAATGAGATATTAAAGTACTAAAATGGTATCATTTGAATTTTGAAAAAGATATATTACTATGCCCGATATTAAAGTACTAAAATGGTATCATTTTGGAAATGGTATCATTTGAATTGAAAATGGTATCATTTGAATTTGAAAAGAATTTCATTATTCATACATATTATTCATCTGTTATATCTCATTTTTCCGACAAAATATGCGCTGCATGGGTAGAACGTGGGTTAGTGGAAGCCGAAAATTCAGCAATCGTAAAAGATATATTACTATGCCCGAAATATCATCTTAATGGTGCACGTATGCTTTCATCAGCGGAAATCAGAAACGGTTCGAATTCTTGATTATAATAAAAAACTCAAATTACTGCTGCTATAAATAAATACTGATGTTGACCTCATGAACATTATCATTTAAAAAGGTGAATGATTTAGCATTCAGATATGAAAAGTGTTACGAAAAAACTACTGAATGAAGGTGCCGAGAATGATGTGCAGGAAGAAAATATTCTTGATGTATGTCGTATTTGTTTTACTTGATATCAATTAACATTAAAAATGAATCAAATGGGCAAATATTCTCTTATCCATTCTTTCTTTTGGATAATCTTGAATGTTATAGTGGAAAATTGATAGATAAATTATTAACTTCTTATCAGGATTCTGTCCCATTGAGGAATTCAAGAATCTGATTTCTGTAACATTTCATCAGAGATTGATGCTTGAATAGAAATATTGTATATTCTAAACTTTTACTTTGAAGTACTTAACGGAGTACTTAACGGTTTTGCAATTTTTTTGTAGTTAGCATCTAAAGAAATGAAAAAATTGGCAGAGGGTACAGAAGGAGCGGTTGTTATGGCTGGAATTTTTAATGGTATTGATAGACCAGTATGTGCATTTCTCCGACTTGACACAGCTAAGGTATTTTTTACTTTTATCACAGTTCATTAATGATTTATTACCGCTAAGTTCTTGTTAACAGCGAAAATTCAAAGTTTTTTGTATTCTCTTTCATGCTTACACGAATTTCAGGTTTTTTTTCCGGAATTACCGAATCTGCCGATACCTTTAAGATTCGTATTTGTCTTACTCAACCCTCATGATCATTACGACAATGAAACACGTGATATTGGTAGGGCTGTAGGTGCATTGCTTTCGGATGAGGTATCATTTTGAGTTAATACAGGCGTTGCTAGAATCAGTGCTTTAGAAAATTGTATTAACTGCGTTTGGCATTGGACAATTTCTAATTCGAAGTAGTCATTTATTTAGTTTGGATTTTCATTAAAGAATCAATTTTAAGAGATTTGCCAGAGTGAAACGATTTTTGAATTCTTCAATAGTTTCAACGCTATGAAAATTTCAATATTTTCTATTGGCTGTTCATATTTGCAGATATTTAGGAAGGTAGCGCTGTGTTCACTTGAACCGTATACGATAGCTGATGCACTGGAAGAATTTTTTGCTCAAGTGGTGGTTATACCACCTGGAAATTGTAGTACGGAAACACGATGGGAACCGAATGCTAATTCAGACCAAGTTTGATTAAAGTTTCGAATTTTTGAAACTGAAAATTTTGAAACTATCTAAAAGTTTCTTAAGTATGATGAATTTAGATAGCTCGATCAGTCGGGATGCTTTATGCTTCGTACGATGATCCATTTGATGGAGAACCAATTTTGGATGGTAAAAAGGATATACACACTGACATCGTGCGCAGCGGTCGCTTATTTGGGGGTTTGTGTAATGATATCAAGTAAGTCAGAAACTTTGCAGAATTCGATAACTCTATTTTATTCATTAATTGTGCTATGCGATATATTTATTGTCATTAATCATCTTAAATAATGGAAAATATGAACTAATTTCCGTAATCTTATCTTAAATCTCACTAATCAATCACTAGACTTGAAATCGTTTAATTGAAAATTTGAAACGATAAATTTAAAGATGTTCAGATGTAAAGCACCATATTTCGTATCCGACTTCACCGATTTCTTCCATGGTCGATGGAGTCAATCTTTTGCAGCAGTCATATTTTTGTTTTTCGCAAATCTTACATCGATTATCACATTTGGTGCAGTGATGGAACGAGCATTGCATCATCATATTGTAAGAACATTCTTTATGTTACTAAATGATCTAAATGATGATTATTAAATGATCTGAATAATCTGAGATTGCTAAATGATCTGAATTATCTGAGGATTACTAAATGATCTGAATGATTTGAAAAATGATCTGTATAATGAAAACAGTCTGATAGAAATTACTCAGATACTTTTGAAATACTATATAGCGGAATAAGAAGAAACGAAATCAGAAAAAATGAGTGAATGACTAAATGAACTGAGATAAAATGAATCAACTAATATTAATACTATTAAATAATCATTAAAACATTAGAGAACTGAGTTATATTGGGATAAATTAGACTTCACGAAGCACTTCTTCAAGTTTTAAAGTTTAATTTTATCTATCTTAGGCAGCTGTCGAAAATATCCTATGCGGTGGTATCAGTGGAGTCGTATTTGGCCTCTTTTCTGGACAACCTCTTAATATTCTATCGGCTACCGGTCCAACGCTCGTTTTTGAAACAATTTTGTTCGATTTTTGTTTGTATGTTCCAATACTTTGTTGTTTTCTTCGGATGGCAAACATTTTGTTTCTTAGAAATTGAAACAAATTTTAGTTATAAATTGTAAAAATTTTTTTTGACTTAGAACACATGGCTGGGAATTTTTACCATTTCGCTTTTGGGTTAGTGTATGGATTGGCATGGTACTGGTTATTTTGGTTGCAACCGACATGTCCGCCCTCGTTGGTTTAATTACCAGGTATTCAGTGCTTTTTTTAAATTAACGATAGAAAAGATATTCTTTTTGTGAAAATGAGGATGAAATCTTTGCTTGATTACAAGTTTCCAAACAGTTAATAATTTATCCTATAGTACCACATTTGGTAGCACATTTTTGTATCGATTATAGCATCATAAACATGCAATTCCTCCTTTCCTTATTGAGCATGTATGGTACGGGAACAAGAAGATATTTGGTGCTACCTTTCTTTAATTCATCCTGCTCATGCGCTTTTTTCTTTTCTTCAAAATTTGATTTTAGGGAATAGAATGAGATTTGCGAAAAAAACGATGTATTTTAGGTTTACCGAAGAAGCATTTGCAGCATTGATATCAGTTGTCTTTATAATCCAATCTTTTGAAAAACTTGTTGAAATCAGTCACGATGCGCCAATCATTGTTGATCCCAAAGTTCATTTTAATTATTTTACTTTTCGCAGAATTAATAATTCTTTTGTTTTTCGAATTTATCATTTATTCCAACAAGAAACAGTTATAATTTTAATAGAGAGTATTCGATTCACCGTGCGTTTGTTATCTCAACGAGCCAATGATACTTTCAAATAACATTACTGCACGACCAAGGATTATGGATGTTGATGCTGAAGGTTTGTATCGTTCAGGAATTTGCTGTCATAAGATTGAAAGTTTGCTAAAATTAAATCATCTTCTTGAATTCTCTTCTAATACCTTCAGATTTAGAGCTAATAATTATATCATAAATATATTACCGCAAATAAATGAATAATAATGCTGGCTATATGATTGTAGAATGTCGTCGACGTGGAGGCGAAGCGTTTGGATTACAATGTCATTTTAAACCAGACGTTTACATGCTATCTATCTTGTTAACCTTTGGTACTTTCGCATTGGCTTATGGCTTAAATATTTTCAGAAGAACACATTTTTTAAATTCCTTGGTACATTTTGGAAGAAACTTTGAAATTTTATAAATTAGGAAAAAAGATCCTTCTGACACTTTTGCTTATTTTTTGTTATTTTAGCTTGAATTTTTTTGAATAATCGATAATATTGGGTCAAACTTTGATTCTAAGATCTGTCATTTTCTCAAAACAGTTTTTTCTTCATATTTCTTCAATGTAGTTTAGATGAATTTTGATTTTAATTTGCTTGTTATATTCAAGGTGTTCGAATGTTTAATTAGAAATTCATTCCAGGTTCGCAATAGCATATCAGATTTCAGTGTTTTCATCGCTATTGTTGTGATGACAGCTGTTTCGAGATTTATAGGTCTTGAGCTACCTGTACTCAATATTCCTGCCAATTTCCGAGTTTGTTCATTTTGTACATTTGGAATCTCATTTTGTTCATTGTACAAAGGCTATGAAATGAAAAGGAGTCCAAATTACAGCAAAAATGTTGTCGATATTAAATAATAATGTTTCAGCCAACGATGGATCGTCCATGGCTTGTCAATCCACTATCAGTGAATTGGTATGTTGCTTTGATGGCTATATTACCAGCTACATTTTACACAATTTTGATTGTCATGGATCAACAGATCACTGCTGTTATTATTAATCGAAAAGATAACAAATTGCGGGTAAGACTTTTTCAGACTGAAATGAGTGAAAATCAGTTTTCAAGTTTTTATCAGAATGTGCTATTGCATATTAAACTGGATATTGCCCCGAGTGCTTAAGGTTCTGGAATAACGATGAAATGAACAAATGGGGCATATCTGTAGCGGAGCCAAGGTTTAGTTAGGAAAAATCCTTGCCTTTTGTGGTTGACTGCATTCGAAAGTGCGCTATTTGATCAAAGACGCTTAAGATATGTGACAAACGCCCTATATGTTTGGATGGACACGAAGGCAGGGACAATAAGTTTTTTTATTAAATTAGTATAATAAGATAAAATAAGAAATGCTGTGAGCTTATTTGAAATTCTTAAAAATTTGTTCGTTTATTCTTATCAAAGGTTATGAAATGTTGAAGTGTACAAGCCATTTCTTTGATATTGCTAATTATTATTGCGATAAAGATTTTAGAAAGGTTTTGGTTATCATTTGGATTTGTTGGTGATTGCATTCTTGATAGTAATTTGTGGTTCGCTTGGATTTCCGTTTTATGTGGCCGGAACAGTGCTCTCAGTAATGCACGTGAATTCGCTTCGTCTGCAATCTGATACATCAGCTCCCGGTGAAAAGGCACAGTTTCTTGGTATTAAGTGAGTTATCATTCAAAATTTCAAATTCTGATTCGAACTTCAATTAGAAATTTTTAATTAAAATCCAAGCCTCCAAAAACAGATTGTTGCAGAGAACAGCGTCTGACAGCGATAATAGCTCATCTGCTTATTGGTTTCTCAGTTTTTATAACACCTCTAATTAAGGTACGATTTTGCTTCGGATATTTTATAACTTATTTATTTGAGCTAATTGAAACAAAATGAAATGAGTGAAAATGATTGATCAAATCCTACTCAAATGATTAATTTGCAGTTAGTGCCTCTTCCGGTACTTATTGGTATATTTTTATATATGGGTGTTGTTTCAATGCTCGGTTTGCAGTTTATCCAAAGAATTGCAATGCTTTTTATGCCTATCAAATATCAGGTTTGTTAGAAGAGTTAAGAAAAAAATTCTTTTTAACAAAATATTTCAATTCTTGAAAATAAATTTGATTAAAGTTTGAAGATTAGAAATGAAATGTTTTACTTCATAATTACTTTACAGCCTGATTATGTATGGTTAAGATTGGTTCGTATGAAACGCGTCCATTTGTTTACTTTCTTTCAAATTCTCAGCATTGTTAGTTTATTTGCTGTGAAGTATGCAAAAACATTCTCAATGCTATTTCCGTTGATGGTATAAATTTTCATTTGTGTTATTTATTTTGTCAAATTTTTTTTGTAATTAAAGAAATTTGATTTTGGCTTATTTTTGGCTTCCGCTATTTTTCATTGCCACTCATAATCTAATCGGCATCAGTTAACTTAGACTAACAAATTTTTTGATTGTTTCCTGTAACGCAACTTATTTCTATTAATAATTTGATTTAGCTGGTCCTCATGGTAATTATTAGGATGTTTTTTATGGAAAAAGTTTTCACGAAGCAGGAGCTACTTGCCTTGGATGACCCTCTGCCTTCATTCCATTCTGTTATTAGCCCGAATGGACAATCTGCAAAAGGTATTTACCTCTCATGCTAGCAATTTTAACTACATAAAATAGTAAAATCAATATGCGTTAAAATTTTAAATAGCCTCGATTTTAAAATTTTACAAAAAGTCGAAATTGATCAACGATTATTATATTGCTGCATTCCATTTATGATTCAGTTATCGGTTATGATATATGCGCATTTGTCAATGATTATAAATTTATATTTGTTACAGGTAAAAAAGGAACCGTTGATGATGAAGAATTGGAAAATCCAAGAGAAATAGAGGAAGGAAAGAAATCAAATCACTGACCTTTTGCTTACTTTCATATTTCTGTGTGCCATACAAAGAAGTCACATGAGGAAATGAATGGAGATAAATTGGTGTTGTCCGAAAGATCACGAAATGCTAATATTAAGATATATAGTTGGTTATTGCTGTAAAAAAAAAGAGTGAGTTCTATTCTAGAACTTCTTATGTGACCTGTGATATGTTATCTAGGGATCTTTAGCATTTGTGATTTCATAGAGCTGATCAAATTAAGATTGCTTAAGAATGGTCATCTCCCGGTTATTCAATTTAGATTTTTATGACTGGAAATAAAGGGTACATACAATTTCCGAAAGAGCCGACTGCGTCGCCAAATACCAAATATAAATTCAAAATAAGGTTCACTTATCGCAATAGTTGATGTCTCATTAACCGTTTTTTTATTGTCGAGGTAAAGCCTCGGCGATATTTAAATAAGTTTGTAGCGTGATAAAAATAGTCCAAGATATATCCGATTTAATGTAATTTGAGTCACTGCTACTGTCAGAACTTAGCAAGAAATCCTTGTTTCCACTGTGGTACCAATCACCAATCCGATGTCTATTAAATTGGCATATTATTTGTTATTTGGCAACTGCAGTTCTCAGTCCTTATTTATCGATAAGTGCTTGTTTTACATCTCTGTCGATTCGGCAGTGCCGTATGTTTGCAGGGGAAAAACAAATTTCTGTGCGTTCCTCTTTAAGTCATGATGTATTTGCAACAATCTCATTTGCGTTTAACTATGCTTGCGCTACAACTTCGTTATGCGTATTTCACGCAACGTAGTGTAATTTTCGGATATCATATAATTTGTATTCTTGTATCCTAAAAGGCTTATATGATGTGCATGACGAATGTCTATTCTGACCCATGTTTGTATTGTAATTGTCCATATGATCCATTGTTGTATTAGTAAGCTTGATGATTTTTGCAATGTTTTTGAAAAATCTTCAGTATTTTGAAGTGATTAGTGTCAGAAATTAATTTGTTTTTATATAGCAAACTTTTTCATCAGTCAGTAAATCCGTGCTTACATTGACATTGTATCTTAAGTGCCTGACTTGTGAAAATTTGCCTTTGTAAATTTTATAAAATGGCCATAAAATGAACTGTGTCGTTCATCAAAGTAATCACTGCACGAAATTGGATGGAATTTAATCAAATTCCTTCAGAGGATACAGACCGAAGAAGACGTACACTGGACAAAAATACCATGAACCAAAGAGGTTACAAATGCATGCGGTACAATGACGATCCCCTGCTTTGAGATAATAAAATAAAAATCTTTGTCGGCAGCTGTGAAGTTGATTAAACCTGTGGACAGGTAAGTAGAACTAATTCATGGTGTTCCGTTACTCAAGACTTCTATATATTTATACCGAATTATGGATAAAATGATGGATTGCTTTTATCATTCAGTTCCATATTTTTTGAAGGGTCAACTGTTTAAAATTTTATTATATGTTTCAGAAAAATGTTGCTAAAATTAAGTTTGTTGTTTTCACTGGTTCTTCACCTGTGTATGGGTCTTAGTTTCCAATGTCGTGATCAAAAAAATCAAAATGTGGACTGGTATGTTTCTGGAACTAAGTTTTATACTGGAATTTTCCTCACACTTGTTCTAATTTTAGTCACCCTCAATTTGTTTTCCCAATTTAGGTTTATATTTTACAAAATTGGTCGCATAAAAAATTCATCCGCAAAATCTGTTCGTAATGGTTATGCGTTCTTGTATATGGATGTTAACCGCCAAACATGGTCATTTTCGTCAGTCGGGATCGATAACTCGAGACAAGCTATTGGATATACTTTGCAGCAATATTATGAGGTCGCAAGTAATCCTGAGGTGATTTTCAGCATACCTTTCTGCTTGACATTAATAGAAAGCGTTTTCGATCAAATTTTGTATTGTAATCTAAGGGTAGTGAGCACCATTCTTAATTCATGATGCAGTGCATGATGAATTAAGAACTATGAATGGTACTGCTTGGATAATAAAAATTTAGCATAAAAAACAAATCCAACACAAGCCCAAGGGCTAAATAACGGAAACAACAGTCCACACACTCAAGAAATGCAACAAACTTAAAAAATCACTGGGCTGAAAATCTTGGCAACTAAAATTCAAAATCAAAGTCATTCAAAAAATTCGAAACATTCAACACAAAAACAAAAAATGAGAAAATAAGACAAAATGAACTAAAAAAAAATATCAAAGCAGAAGTACAAATAAGTATAAACAAAAAAGATAACTGAGAAGGAAAAGAAAACAATAACTGTTTCCACTTCAACCCTTTTACTTAAGAAGGATTTCTGTTGGTTTTGTTATGCAGGAGATCTCCCGGTCAACAAGGAATGACATAAATTATCGGTTAATTTCTGAATTATAAAACAGTGAAATTCTAATGTGATTATTATTATCCAGACAAATAAATTGATGCGAATCTAAAATGAGGTATAAGTTTTTGACAAATACACTATTATATGGTAATTTGTTAGTTGTTCTACTGTTATAATTTTAAAGGTCTTCAGTATAATGTATAACGACGAATTTCCATATCCCAACAATGACACTGTGTCAAAATCTTCAGGACATACTAAAGGTATATGAATGTATAATTATGAAATAATTTGTTATTTGCCAAGACAGTTTCAAGACAGTTCATCTTTGTTACTCTTCTTGATACCTAATGATATTGCAAGTTGATATAATCGATTCGCAAAGTTTTATATATTTTCATTCCTTTCAATTCAGTCGTGAATTTTCTAGGAGTTGTAGTATTTGGAAAAAGTAATGGTTTCTGGTTGGTACACAGCGTACCGAAGTTCCCCAGAAATGACACCTATGAATACCCAGTCACTGGACGTCATTACGGACAAATGGGTTTATGCGTTTCAATGTCCTATTCACAACTGCATAAAATCGGTAATTTTCAGCTTTAAGATTCTTGGAAGTTCAATTGGCATTTGTAATGTGATCAAGGGAAGAAATTTGTCTTTTAATCTTGATTTTTGGATCTTTGAAATAATGAATTCTTATTTTAAATCTTTCTTCAGCTATTCAGCTGTACTACAATCACCTTTTCATTTATTCACAAAAACTCCCTGCGCAGACAGCTGCTGACATACCTATTCTTGTGAAGGTTAGTTTGACAGATCTTCAAATATTACGAAGTGAAAAAATCTAGGTTAGAGTGTTTATCGAACTTGAACTGATGCCTCCGAACTTTTATCAACATTTCGCTTATTGAAACAAAATAATTTGCAAATAATTTCCAATTAAAAAAAAATTGTCAACTTGAGGTGGTCTCAAAAAAACATCAGCGCGTTGCTCCTTATGTTAGTCGTGTTGTGATCAATTCTTCCGCAGGCCATGAATTTTTTCACTTCGCGAAAACTCGTGCATTCAAGAAAGGCAGTAACCTTACATAAATTCATTATTTCTTTCTTTAGATATGTAGAATCATATCATATTTTTACTTATGAAGTTAACTTGGTACTGTACGTATTTTAGATCTTTACTTTGATCTCTTAGCACCTTCGCTTAAAAGTTCATTGAAAACAGAAACTTGGCAACACGAAACCTCTAAAAACAAGAATCTGCGGTCTTGGTGTCGTAAATACAGTCCTTATAAGGTATTCAGTTATATTGCTTTACTTTCCTAATTTAATTATAGCTTATTTCCATCCTTATTTTTATTTATTGAAATATCTTCTGAAACCAGTAAAAAGTTGCCATAAAATGTTTATATTGCTTGACAGTGCTGCACGTACTGCTGGTCTAAGCGTGCTGTCCTGAAAATCGTATTAGTTCAATTTTGTAATGAGATCTGTAATGAGATTATCATTGAAGCTTATTACTTTATGTTCTTCATGCTAGGTTTTGGATGTAAAAAAGGTTACTCTGCCTTTTAATATCACTTTTCCAAACGCGCTCGATCATTCCAAATTTGCGGTTGCGACGTTGGATACAAACAAAGTACCTCTACCTTGGATTTGTATTGGTGATATCAATAGACAGGTACGGAAGTTGCTTTTTTAATCGTTTTATACTTCCCAAGAGATAGAGGAAGATTGAAATTTGAGCCCTCTCTTTATAAGAGATTCGGAATAAGGAACAATTCGAGTTGAAGGAATTAATTGATCATACAATTAGGCAAACTACGCTTTATGAAAATTAGGTTCCCGACAACTTTCAGAAACATCAGCTTGTCCGTGCAGGTGGTTCGATGTGTTTTGCGAATTCGGAAGTACATTCCATATATAGTGCTATGGTTCCAGATTATTGGCCATGCGTTAGCAATGTTTGCTAAAATTTGGATTTTTGCTGATAATGTTTCGTCACAATCTCTTAGGATGCGAGGTCTACTATGAGTCTACTATAAGAATATAAGATGCGAGGTCTACTATAAGAGGAACTAGTGGTTATTTAAAAAAACGCGTGATGCTATTACCATTTTGTTACTTGCTTAATTTTGCTGTAAAATAATTTATTTGTAATTTATGCTTTATCGCTGTCTTTTACTTCTCACTAGTGATTTTGAGAATTGACAAGGTGCGGAATAACTATTGGTATTTAATTCTTCGGTATAAAAGAAATACGAAGAAATGCTTCTTTCTTCCAATCAAATTTTCTCCTGATCTAATTCCATTTTGTTATTATTTTCATTTTCTTGTCTTCCAAAGAAAAATCAGTTTATGAGAGTACTTTCAGGAAAGAGAATTTCAGAAAATTGATGCTGTTTGATGTCGTTGATGATTTAATGCAGGTTAGATGTAACCAAGCGTTATCTATTGAAGAAATATGGTGTTAGTGTTTAGCCGCATATTTTTGTTCAGCATTGGTATAGTTTGCTGTAGAACAGTTGTTACTGTACTTCCGTGAAAATAATTTTTGTGAACTGTTATTTTCTATTCTCAGTATTCGTTCAAAGAAAGAAAACTGAATTAAGAAAAGAAATTTATTGCATCTTGACATCATGTCCTTTCAAACAAACTAATCAACAATGTTTGATTATGGTTCCCAGTAGAGCATTTCAGTTTTTCTATGAGCGGAAAATGCATCATTGATTTTGAATACAAGACAGTATGAACTAATTTTGAGGATCGCTTTGGGAAAAGTCTCTGTACGTCTTTAAATTGTTTTTTACCGTTAAAGTTTTGGATATCCTAAAAAGTTACGAAGAATGAATTTTTCTTGAATGGGAAGTCATTTTTCAAAAGTGGTATTCTCTAGAGTATTAATGTTATCGATGTGAAGGAATCGGTTGAACTGAAAACTAGAATCATGGGGACGCTGAAAAAGAAACACCAGTGTGAAATTAATGTTTTTCCAATTGAAGTTTTTGAAGTTTAGACGAAATTTAAATTATCTTAAGTCTTTCTCGAGCATTTCTATTAACAATGCTGCTTAGATTAGATTCCGGAAATCAAATGTTTTATTCAGTAGGAAAGTTGAAAGACTCTTCTTATCATCAAATCACATCCCTAGGGTTGGACGACTAGATGAAGATTCTCCTCCAACGTTTATAAGCAGCAATAATATCCCTGAACAAGTGGTGTATTATTATCGTTGCTTATTAGCATTAGCGGAAGAATCCTTTATCAGACAGAAGAAATATTGCACTGCGTCGTTGTATACATCATCTTTAGCAAATAAAGGTAAAACGCACCAAAAGTGGCATCCTTTGTTTAAGAATTTCCATTGTGTTGTAAATGAGTAAAACTTCCGGAGAAACTATTACCGCTTTTTTAAGGGAGTTTCCATGTTTTGTGGAAAACTTATTTGGTCATCTTTTATGAGTCCACTAAACAGGCACTATTTACTTCGATTGTTCACATTATTTTTTTACGCAGTTTTATTGCTTTTTTCTTTTTCTGATCATCAGGAATTATAATTGTCTTGAAATTTCGCTATCGAAGTACTTGTGTTGGAAGATATGTTTGTCAAGCAATAACTGTCAAATATATTTTGTTCATATGACACAATTACATTAATTTCTTTTGCATGAGATTTTATTTATTTTACATGTTTTATCTTTTTTCAAATTGTTGAAATTTCTCTATGTAAAAATTGACGTTCCCTCAGAAAATACGGATACAATTAGGTATTCAAAAATTTAAATAAATTAATGTATTGCTAAGATTATCACATTGAACAAAACATTTATAATTAGTTTTTAAATGTTTCTTTCCCTCCAGATGAGTTGATAATCAATCCTCTTTTTAAGTTCTTCAATCTCATATCACCTATATCACTTAGATATTCTCCCATCTCACATTACCCTTATCACTTAGATATTCTCCCATCTCATATCACCGATATCACATAGATAATATGTTGATAAAATGAAACAAACAAATTTTGTCTAATTTTCTATATATTTTTGGAATTTTTTGGAATATATATATTGCAAATTTATGTTGAAGATATGTTAAAAAGAATCGGCTTTGTATAATATATTTTCTTGGATAGTCGTAGTATTTATTGGAGAATAATATTATTAATTGCGATATTGCACAAAAATAATTGCAATAAGTGAATTATTTCTCCATGTATCCATGGATATTATAAAATGGCAAAAGGATTTAATGTGAAAATTTGATCATCAACCAATAGAGGAGAGAGAAAGTTCATGGAGGCAGATGTTGCTAATAAAAAATAAAAGTGCTTTAAAATTGTATTCTCAAATGATCGGAATGAATGGATAAGCAACGGAAAATAAGGTTGTAATAGCATAAGCTATTAAATTAATAAGCATAAGCTATTTTAAATTAATCAAACAGGTGTAATTTGATTTGGTGGAATTTGTAGCCAAAATCAAATTACACCTTTTGCTTAATAAAGAATATCTGCTTTACTATTCCATGTTTCGTAATAGCATATCTAAACTTTTCTGTGAAAAATTGTCATTTTTTAAAATGGCCTAAATTTTCCATTTCCCTTCACTTATCCATTTCAGTATTCGTAGATAATATCTCAAGAAAAAAACCGAAAAATGGAATATGAGCAAAATTAAATCTGTTTGAATCCGATTCAGAAATTGCTTACCAGTCAGTATAATAGTGTAAATCATTACAGTATCCCTTATTGAAGCATTGAATTATTGAAAAAGAAAATAAATGGTTATAAATTTTGCGATTTCAAAACGCTCCAAACATTTCAAGATAAATTTAATGATAAATGTATTGTTATAATTGAATATTTAATTGCAGCTTTGCTTCGTTTCGCATACTTTTGAATTCAATAAATCAAATTGTTTTATCTAATTTATCATCCACATTATCTTTGATATCTTATAGTGAAATAAATCCGTTTTCTCTTTCAACCATTTGAAAATTATTGAAAAAGGAAAATAGCATTCTATCAGTTAGTCGTGATATTTAAGGCATTGACAAAATGCATTGTTGACAATGCATGTTGACAACATAACATCCTCTTATTCCTTTCAAACAATACTTTTCCCTATTTATAGTGATATTACTAAATATACTTTCTCAAATCAAAATTTTCATTATAATTTGAGATTAAAAATAATTGTATTTAATTATTGTATTATTTAAGGTAAGACAAAACATTTATTCATTGATTCATTGTTATTTTGCATGCAACCATTGTGGACAGTTTCATTTCATTTCATTTCCTTTTTCATAAAAACAAAAATAATATTTCTCTCTCTATTTTTCCAGTTTATAAATATAGCGTTATTTTATTATTGTCCTGAAATGGGTATCATCTATCTGTGTATATGTATGTATATGTATGTATGTGTGTGTGTATGTGTATGTATGTGTGTATGTTTGTTTATGTATGTTTGTTTGTTTGTTTGGCGTTATGTTAACGAATCATTTGATTTCTTGTTAGCCAAAAATTATTCAATAATATTTTTCTGTTTCAGTTAAAAGTCAAATACTCTCAATTGGAAAAAAAGTGAGACAAACATAATTTTCAATGAGTGACTGCCTATTGTAACCATTATTGAGTGTGCGCTAATCATTTATAATTGGTAGTTGGAATATCTAGCCTAGATTTAGACTTAGGCTCATTTTCTTCTGACTTTATTGCTTAGCATTTAGAGATATCCTGTAAATTTCTTCTTCCTAGATTTTACTCTTCATTTTATTAATTTTTCATTTAACGAATTTGAATTTGCTAAATGAAAAATTTCCATATACTTCTCATATTGCATTACCAATTAATTTATGCAATCTTTGACCTAAATAGATTACAGTTAAGAAGATTAAAATTTTGTATTGGTTTTGTTTTTTATTTTGAAAATGATAGGCAATGTTAACTTATCAACAGTGAATGATATGAAATATTCTCTCTCTCTCTCTCTCTCTCTCTCTCTCTGCTATACTTCTCATTTCACTTCATTATATTAAACAAATACAATTAAATGAAAGATCCTTAAATTTCTCCTTTTTTTCTCTCTTGAATATATGAAAGGAATTGTTAGAAAAGCTGCTTGATTATTTGACATACTTATTACCACCCTTCGATAAAGTATTTCATGATATGAAAAAGAAAATATTCTTTCTATTAATTATTTATTTGAAATTCACTTTGTAAATTTAAAAGGAATTCACAATTAACTACACGAAATAGCTCCGTTTAATAAAGCTTATTCACTTATTCATTCATATTTATATAGGCACAGTTATTTTCTTCTCATTCTTTCTTTTCCAGTTTTTATCGGTGATATGAAGGTATTGCTTATTCATATTTCACCGATTGTTTCTGGAGCAGGTGTATTCATTTATTCAAATGATATGCTAAGCTTAAGCTTTCTTTTTAAGACTATAAATTTGATCGAATTTGGTAATAATTAGAATAGTTATTTTAATGTAATAAAACGTATTACTGCGGAAGTGTAAAAATCTGATGAAGATGAAACGGACGAGACCTGATTTTAATTTAAATGAAATCCGTTTAAAGAGATCAAAAATCTCGATAGATTTTATATGAGTGAAGAAAATATACAGCACAATATGAAGATGAGGATTAAAGATCTGTAATTAAAATCAATTTTCTTTTTTTCCTAATTTTTTATTTTAATAAATTCATTAAATTCAATCCCACGTAAATAATTAATTATTCAATGAAATGAATGTACATGAATAGACACGTGCATGTATTATTCTTCCTTCCTCTATAAAATTAATTCCTAAAATTTATTTCCCACAAATGAAAGTTTCAAATAGTAAAAATGAATTAACCATAATTATACAAGCTGTTCATATTTTTATTATTGACAAATATTCTATTCTCTATTAGCTTAGTAGAAAAAATCATTCAAATCTCATTTTCAATATTCTTTGATAAATAAGATTTTGTCGTCTTTCTGATTTACATTTAGCGATCCATTCATTTCTTCAATTTTTCTCCATTCATTCTTTATTGAATGATTTAATAACATTTATTCCTTCAAATAAACTAAACAAATCATTCCATAAGCATGCAAGTATGCCAAGTAATCGTCTATTGAATTTTTGCCAAAGTAAGCTAGAGTATCGCAGAAATATTATTTCATAAACATACATACACAAACACACACACACACACACACACACAACTGCACCATACTTGACAACCTATTACCTCTTTTTGTCTTTTTTTCTCTATCTGTATGTTTTATGTATCACAAAGGTATGTTAATTCATTATATATCTTATTGAATTTCTCATAGAAATTAATTATGCTAATTAATGAATTATTTTACTTTAATCTATCTTTCATATAAGAGTTAATAATATTTATTTTGAAAATTTCTTACAGTTTTATATGATTTCAATATATACAATAAAATGATTAATGGTTGGCATAAATTATTCAATTTTTTTGTTTGAACTATCGTGCAGTCAGCATTGTGAATGCTATCTCTGAAATTTAATATCAATTGGAAGAAATATTACACATTTGTTTTAATAAAATTAGAATCTAAAAATTAACAACTATTGTTTCTGTTTTATAATTAATCAATTAGTCATTCTTTAAATCATTTCTTTCTTTTTCTTTTCAAATTCTTTTAAAATATCTTTTCAATTTATATTCATCAAAGCATAGTTTTTAGCTTTTTATAAAATAGATTGAATGAAAAATTTTGAATTAAATAAAACCAATAAATAATGGATTGAATAAAATTGTGAAATTGACAAAAACGAGAAGGAATAAGAAAGAACTTAATTGATATTACTTACTTATCAGAATCACAAACAAAGCTATTTATGGGAAATGTGAAGAGTGACGATGCAAAATAAGAGTGAAGAAGAAGATGAAGAAGAAATGCGCTAAAAACAGAATGTTTAATTCCAGGTTGATTTGTTCAAATTCAAAAACATTCATTATTTTCATCTTATTAGCCATAGATAGCATCATACATTTCTCATTTCCTAATTACATTCATAGATTTCTTTCTTTTCATCTCTTCTAAGCTTTTTTTCCAATCAATGACAATTAATTGAGTTTTCTTATAATTATTTCCATTTTGTCATAAATAGAGTCGATTCGAACAGATTCTAATTAAAACCATTTGTTGAAGCAAATGTTTAAGCGTATCTCAAATATTTTTTACATATTATGAAATTTTTTCAGATATGTTAAGCATTCAATTGTTATCAGTCATTATTTAAGATTAAGTCTGGCTTAATTAGATTAAGATTTATTTAATGTTTAATAAATCTAATTTAATCAAGCCAGACTTAGTCTTGAATAATGATTGATAATAATTGAAGATAGACAACAGATGTAGAAGTTCTCGGAAAAAAATGATTGATATATGAACATAACACGAAAATCAATATTCTGCTTACATATTTTAAATATCATCATTTTCAAAGAATTTCAATTTTGAATTTTATCGTTTTAATAAATTGTAAATCCGAAAACTCTATATTCATGTTTTTGCAAAGAATTGGAAGATTTTTCTAGTTCATCCATTTTCATTTTCCCTCTCATTTCATTAGCACCTATTATCTAATTGTGTGGAATTTCGGAATATTGTCTTCCGACAATCGTAGTAGATGTTGCATAGTGAGTATAGATTCTGCAGTTCCTTTGCAAACTTTAACAACATTGAATTGGGAATTCTACAACAGAGAGAAGTTTTATTGCGAATTACTGATGGCGGTTTGTTTGCTGGAGAGATGAAGTATTGAGCTGGAACTAAATTCTCTGTGAAAGATGAAAATTTGAGGGAAAAAAGTTTTATTTTTGTGCAATTCAACGGTTTGCAAATATTTGAAAAAAGATCAGCGCTATACGATCAATCGATCAATTTTGCGGAATAGTAATGAAGTACATATCCGAGATATTTGAGAGAAGCTGGCACCAAAAGTTTCTTAAAAAATTTTAAGAAAAATTTTATGTACTCAAACTTTGATTTCTCTGCGTCTTTTTATCCATTTTTATTTGTGCTATATTCTCTTCTCTTTTCCCTATTGCATTGAAATATTGCATAAGTAAAAAAAGTTTGCGAAGTTTCAAAAACTTCTGTTTAGATTATTTTGTTTATTATTAAAGATCTTTTATAATGAGCAATTAATAATGTTTTAGGTATGCTCTGCTACGTGATAACATTATATCACGAAGTGATTATCAGTGTGCTCAGAAGTTAAGAAATGTATATTTTTAATTAAATATTTTATTTTATTGCGATCCATTTAAGAAAATTTCTTTCAAAATGGAAATTATTTCCAAAATGTAGTCAAAATGATATGTAAATTTGTTGTGATAGTATGATTATATTACGAATTGGAAATGTTGCAAAATCTCAGTAATGGATAATTTTATTGAGAAGTATACTCTTTTACAATCCTTCCACTACTTTATAACCATAAAAATTCTATAATTGAAGAACAATGAAATAATTTTTAATTTATGTAAAATTTATCTAAAACTACAAATTCATTTTATTTTCGAGCATTGTTACATTTTAATTTATAGTTTCAAGTAAAACGATGAATTGTCACTGTCAAGTTATGCGTTGAATGGTGTGTATTCGAATAATGAAAATTTCATTGATATCAAAACAAATCATGATGAAAACCGCTGAAGATCGTAGAATGATACCAGCTTGCAGAATTGCTATACTAGGAGTTTGTTATCTTTCTTTTTTTTAAAATTATTATAACTATAATAAGCTTATCATTCTAATGCCAAAACTTACTTCTAAGCTTTTGATCACATTTGTATTACAGGAATTAGAATTTAATAACTGTTTCATTATACTTCAGGTTTGTCAATTCCAATTGAAAATCTTTTCGAAATTAATAGAACAAACTGCGCCATCTTGTTCAACATTATTGGATCTTGCAACATTTAAACCTTCAACATTGAAAAGGCTTGCTGGACGATTCATTTTGCTCCATCCCTGTCATGGTCCATGTGGCTTAGTTGGAATATTTTGCAGTAAGTGTGAAATAAATGATGATATTGGTATTACTGATAATGATAACAAAGTATCATGTTATCATCAAATGCTTCCCAATGAGTTGATCAAATTTTTGCAAAATGGAGCAATAGATTGAAGCTAACAAATGAAATGAAGAAATTATCATCGAGATGATTCTTGAATAGAAATTCTCTCTTGGCCTGTTATATTGTTGACGCATTTAAATTAATTATACTTCACAATTAATGAAAAATGTAATTTAACTAAATAAGCTTATCTTTTTACTTTTTTTGCTTATAATGAAGTAATAAGATTTTATTTACTAATGAAATTACAATGTAATTTTAAGGAGAAAAATTGTTTAGAATAGGAAACAATTTAGCAAATTCAAAATTAGTGATCTTAAATATAAATTTTTATGTAATAAAGGCTTGATTTATTCTGTACGTTGTATTTGCATGCATGAATATTCATATCATTTTATATTCGTATCATTCGTCATTATTCGTATCATTGTTTTCTTTTTTTTCAATGTTGAAGATTTAAATTCAAGTTCTATTTCATTTCGCTCATTCATTTATGATAGCTATTTATATTGAAGCATTCGTAATGCTAGCACATTTCACTTGTTAAGTTAGCATAATGAATAGTTATCTTATTTTGGCTTCCAAATTCATTAATTAGCTTTCGCCAAAAAATGTTGACTTCTTTATTGGCAACAATTTACCATCGTAAAATGCTGGCACTAATATTCTTTTCTTTTAGTATCTTCTTTTTTTTGAAAATCTATTTAACTACACTATTCGTTTGAGTTATCACTTTCTGTCCATTTTGTAATTTTTGTTTGCCTTATCAAATTTCATTATGGAATCTAAACGAATGCAGCTTAGAAATGTATTCAGTAATTTCTTAATGAGTTATGATACAGTTCCTGAATAGAAAACCATCAAATAATGACCATTGTTGAAGATCATTGATTATGTAGTATTTTAAAGCATAAAGTTGAATTACCATATCCAGCACTCTAAGCATGTTAAATTTGCAGGTGTAAAATTTAATGGCTCTAGGTGTGTCTATTGTACTGCATTCTACCGTGTATGAAACTTCTATATCGTTTTACTGTGAAATCCTCGGTTTGCAAACAATAGATTTGAGGATCAGAAGAGAAAAATATTGGCGGCAATCCTTCAATTTAAATAATTTTTGGTGATTGCACGATGATCATAGCGTAATTGATTTATGGTATTCATTATCTGAATTCAAAATAAAAAGATGAAGTTCTTGGTCATCTGAAGGTAACTTCACGAGGTAACACTGATAATGGTAACATGCATGATATCCTGCTATTAAGCGCCAGCATTGAAAATCTAAGCAATGAGGTTTAAAAATTTTATGCCGAAATATTAATACTAATAGTAGAGTAGAGATATTTCAATGCTATACATAAATAGCATATCTCCGGTCAAGATATGTCATTGATAAGTGCACCATAAAAATTCGATCGTCCAGTTTTTCGTGTCCCATAGGATACAAGTTTCGTTGATGGCGAGAACTTTTGCTGATTATCGAGACTTCCTTATGGTCCAATTTCCTATGATGTTTGATCCAGGAGAGAAGAAAATCTGAACACCATCTGATAGAATTTTCAAATTTATAAGAAAAAATAAGTTTAAAAAATATTTTTCTCTTCTGACACTTATTGTTGGACGATTTTGTATGCCTCATTTTCCATTAAGTTTTGGCAAATTTGAGTGAGGAAGAAATGAATCTAAAGGTGGCGGACGTATATCTTTACTAAACGTAATCTAACTAAACAGTACCGCGTAGCTTCAAGTTCAAATGGCTCATGTGATTTTACTTCATTCCAGTTAGCCAATTGATATTTTCAAAACCAGATGTTGTGCAAATTGCTTTTTCTTATCAGCTGGTTTACAACTGCTATTTCAGGTAAATCTTCGCTTTTACTTCTTCCTTTCTTTTTTTATAAAACAGTTGACACACTGAATTTTGCTCTATCTCTTTGTTTGTACATCGAGTGAAAATCACACCTGCAGCAGTTTGCTCCAAAAACTAAATCAATTTTTATATTAGAATTATTTGGAAGCGCTTGAAGTTTCCAAACATATTTTTCATCTTACACTGCAGTCTCTGAAATTCATCACTCTTTAACGGAAACAATAGCTCATCTGCTGACATTTCAGATGAACATAGCATTCCGATCCAACTCGATAACGTAACTCCACACGACAAATCCGATGAAACATTCCATGCAAGTATTCTAAGTATTCTAAAGAGAATTTGAAATTCGCCATCGATATTTGACACGAAACACTGTTTGTGTTATGTAATAGATAATGCTTTTATAATATTAGTAACAGAGTGCAATTCCTTGTAAAACTTAATCCTCCAGAAATTAAAGGATTTTTAGGATGGACTGGGAAAGGAAGGCTTGCCATTTGGTCAATTTCTGAATCACGTAACTCAACCATTGCTTGCTGGATTAGAAAAAGTAAGGTAACGTGAGCAAGGTAACATGAGGGATATTGATATTTCTAATTCAAGGTCTATTATGATCAATAACATACAATTATTTTTTGACGTTCTCATCCCAATATCGCCCACCACGGCTGAACAACTTTCATAATGTGTGTCACTTCCATCACATTCGTTCAACTGCGCTCTTGCATTTTTTACATATGTAACAAAAAAATATGATTATTACTTCTTTGCAAAATTTAATCCTCCAGAAAAGATTTTTAGAGTGGATCGGGAAAGGAAGGCTTGCCATTTGGTCAACTTCTAGATCACATACCTCAACCATTGCTCGCTGAATTGGAAAAAGTAAGCAAAACAGTGGCAGAAAAATCATAAGTATTCAGTCAAATTTGGAAACATCTTATTTAATCTTCATTTTTTCTATTTAACTCTCAAAATGTTAATTTATTACAATACAGCCATTATCTATTATTCATAATTGGTATGTGCCTCTAATACGGAAATGAATTAGGGTTGTGCTTGCGTAGATGAAATCTCATTTGCAAACCAATGGAAACCCATTTATTTATTTACTATTTCTTGCAGTAGGAAGGTGACGCTAGGCGTGAATTGTTAGCAAGGTAACATGAGAGATATTGATATTCTCAATTCAAGGTCTGTTATCATCAATAACATACAATATTTTTTGGCGTTCTCATGCCAATACCGTCTATCATGGTGGACAACTTTCATAATATGTGTCACTTCCATTACTTAGTCGTCCAGTTACACTTTTGCATTTCTTATATACGTAACAAAAAGATGTCGTTATTATTTTGAAAAATTCCTTCCCACCATTTTATTCTGGAATAAGGCTTATTTGTATCTTTTTACAGTCAGATATCCTCAGTGCAATACTTTTGAAATTTATTTCACCTTCAAGTTCGAAAATGAATAAATATGCCATCAGAATCCGAAGATAGTGAGACAACCAAGGAATATATTTTAACTCATTGTGAATCCGGCGGGAACCTTTCAAGTTTGAGTATATCTAATTTTCCGAAAAACTCTGGAGAATAATATCAAATAGAATGGGATGTGATATATTAAAGTTCTGATACTCCTCATTCCTAATACATAAATTTAGGCGATAATTCTTTCAGGTTGTATTGGTGGCAATAGTATCTAATAATTTTGATAGTCATTTTCCCCCTCAGGAAATACAACAAAAAATTTCACATACTGGTGATGTTGTTATTGACTGATCACTGCTGCCCTCCGAACATCATCTTCCTTTGACCCACCCCTCATACATAATGTCTTTATTAACAAGGATTTAGAATCACCAACTAATCTATGTCCATCAAGTAAGCAGGTTACGACTCTTGCATAAATGACGACCATATGCGACCTGAAGATGTTTAAATTACTCAGTTCCAAAACAATTTACATGGAAAAATAATTAGCACAAAGATTACTGCTGGTGTGTAGTAGCAGCAGTGATATCTTTTTGAACGAATAAAAAGGGGATGTGATACTCTAACCCGTAAAATATATTCAAATGAATCATCTTGTGATTTCCGGAAATAATTTGAATCTTCAAAATAATAATGGATTTTGAGGATGCTATTATTGACAATTTCGAATAACAAAGAAAAAAAAAATTCCCTGAATTGTTTCTTGTAATAGAAAGTAAAAGCATTATGCAGATATCGCATAATACCTATTATTAATAAAGATTGTCGAAAACGAAGAGCAAAAGGAAAGTATATATCAAACCAAAAAATCTTATCTTCTCATTAATTAAGAATTCTGTTAGACTGGAAAGGAAATTGATTTAACTGCACAATCAAGATCTACGATTGTGAAGAACTAATAGAGTAACATCAATCATCATCAGATTTCAGATGTTTTATATATTTTTCCAGTGAAAGCTTAAAATTTCCAAAGTTTTAATTTGAAGCTATTATAATTTAAGAAAAGATAATACTTTTACAATAAACCCATAGTAAAATTTATTGAATAAAAAAGTTACAATGGTAGTGACATGGTCCCTCATTTTCCCAATAAAAAAGATTTGAATAGTCGAGTTTGAGGGGAAAGGTCGTCGCCCCTTTATTACACTTCTCTTTCGCTCCATTCCTATTCAATCGTTGTGTATATAATTTGTGGGAATGTTATCCTACTCAGATCGTTGTCATCGTCATTGCCGTTCCACTGAGAGTACTCTATAGAAAGAGGGAAGGATTTCCGTATCTTCGATCACTTGGAAGAAAGGACAAGCATTGGGGGATATTCTTTGTCCCCTTAATGAATTTCCAGATTATTTTACACATTTTGTGGATTTTATACATGAAGCATCCCTTTTCATCTCTTTTTTCAAGTTCTCTCGCTGATTAAATAATAAGAGAAAAGGGTATAAATCCTAATGCCTTTATCAATACAGTAATTCCCACTCAAATCTATTTACACGACTATACAATTAGCTGAGATGAATGTACGCTTCAAATCTTTTTGAATAAACTGAAAAGGAAGCTCGAACTACTACATTCCATGTTTTTCTTTCTCATAGGAGCATCCCTCTGCACTTTCCTGAATTCATCCTGCAAAAGGTAAAAATTAAATTACTGAACTGATAAATTTATATACAGCAATATAACACGATATTACATTAAGTTCACTGCTTCCCTTTTCTTACATGCTTATTCATCAAAGATCCCTTGAAATCATACGGAATAGGTTACAAGATGATAAATAATGAAATGAAAACATTACACCACATGATACGGTCCCTCAAAATTGGTGCGCATATAGCAACTGGTACATATCAAGGGAAGAAAATTGAAATTAGAGTGGGATTATGCCCCGTTCGCCCGAGAGATTGTATGAAAGCACAAAGCACACAGAGAAATGACGTTGAAGAGCAGCCGGCGAACTAAATATATGCACGTCCTCGTGCCTAACATAATAAATAGATACTGTCTAGAGGATACATAACCAGAGAGGTCTGGGCCAGACTCAAAACGGCTCCTTTATTTAGACTAAACAAAAGAAGGAGTAATAATAGAATTCAAACTTCTGTCGTACTTCTACTTTCTAAAACGATCATCGACTGCCACTGTATCTGCATATCTCTCCTTATTCCCGCTTTAAAATGTGAAGTTGCTATCCCTTGAATTCTTCCATACCTATTTAATATACTAGGAACTACCGACCTGCCGGAATTTTCTTTCTCAGTATAAGTGTATAATTACAGCAGTGTAACTGACTCATTCACGCTCACGACAGGTGTCACTTTCTGCCGTGTCGGTCCTCCAGAAAGTTTGTTCTGGCAGTACTTCACTTTGCATCTACCACAAATTGTGAAGTGCTGAGGTTAATGATGGGAACGGAGGAGAGGTCCGAGCCTTCATTCTTATTGATTTGGGAACGAATTTTAATCGATCCAAGGAAAAAAAAAACTTCTATTTTCTACGTCAAAAATACATCTTTCCACTGCTAAGAATTAAGAAATGGGAGGGAATCAGGGAAATGATTATCGAGAGAATCGATGATACTTCTAAGTTCTGAAATGAAAAGCATTCCCAGATAAGCGCTAAAGAAAGACTTAATTACTTTGCGAAAAATCCAGCAGGGGACAGCACTCTGACATATTAAGAGCAATCTTCTACAGATTCCGGTCAAATACAACGGGATTTGTAAGAAAAATTGGATGTGTTCTCTGAGGAGGAACGGTTTTTTATTACAATCCTTCAGTCGTGTTTATCTCCCTGAAGGATTGTGATAGAAAGTGTAGAACAATGAGTAAAGAGAACGTTGCAACATGTCGCGTTATTTTGTTTGGTACAAATTTCAAGAAAGAAGATAGGATGCTTTTATCCGAAGATCACGCTGCCTCATGAATCCTTTGATCCGAAATCTCTAAAACACGCTAGAAAACTGTTAGTCCTGACAACGAGCTAAGTACCCTTCATAGATCATCGTGATACACGTCAGCCAATCATCCTAGTTCACGCTGAGTCTGTCATTTTACTTTGTAGCACAATTCTTTCCGCACTAACATCACAGCTTCATCAAAACATGTCTTCTCACAATTTTCACCGAATATGTAACTTACTGGACAATTTCCAAACATTCGGTTATTTTCCGTAATCAATAAGGGAATGCTGATAACTAAATGATTATCTACGGAAAATTTCTTATGAAATTTCCCGTAGATCAGGGATCATCTTGTGCGCAAGCATTCGTAATGAAGCATTCCACTGTGAGGAGAAAGCATCAAACCTCATGAAGACAGCATAAAAGGTATAAATTTACAGTTCGAACTGCTACTGCTTCTCTTACGTTCTTCACTTACAGCAAAACAAGTTCTTTTTCTTTGTACTTTTATTTTTATCTAAAATTTTCTCTTCAGTTTTTAGAATTCCATCGATGCAAAGAGAAAAATTAACTGCAACTAAATTGAAAGAGAAGGGACAATAGGACCAATGACCACCCTATTCATTAAACTTATCCTTTCCCTGTTACAGCGCGATACTGCTGTCCTCTAATCTCTATTATAAACGCGGTCATTCGACGGTTGTCCGAGGAGGTTTGGGGTCACTCTCATTCTAACATGAACCCTTCTGCTCCTCTCACTTAGTTTACCCATTAATAAGCAGCATAAAACGAAGGTTATTGCCAACCATAGACATACACACCTATACACATACACAAACACATACCATTATAATGGAAACAGACACGCAGACGGTGAGATGTGTAATAGAAATGATCGATTAGTTGCTATTGTGTTGGAGATGACTGTATCTCTAACATCGGGCATAAAAAAACTGACATTGACGAGCATAAACACATGCGTGCACACACACACACATACATACACACACATACACACATACACGTATACCTACGCAGACACACATACACGTAGATTACTCTATAGATACACATGTCGGCATACTCATTAGAATGGTTGGTTCATTTTAAATGGTAGTGCATTTTTTGAATTCGTGAGATGGTCCCTACTGAACACAGAACATGAGAAAAAATATATTGATTGGGTGAGTCAATGCCAGTACGTGTTTATATGTCATCCAGGACAAAGATGGGCACGGGTAAATCTGTTTGATGCAACTTTTTTCGTAAGATAGGTTTACTGATGGCTAAGGCCTATATATGTGTGTGTGCTTTGTTGTGATAAGTGAAAAGCGAGCACATTATCAATTTCTCATTATACTTCTCGTCATAATTATTATAGTTAGTGTTTATTGTTGTTGTAATGAACAGTTTTTGTACAGCGAGTGCTGTCCTTATTTGTTAGCTAAACTTCTTTATCACATATTTGATAATGTGATCATTTTCAAAGACAAGCAGACATATTTGATGGTATGGTC